ACTGAGGGACACAGAATTGTTACTCAGGGACACAGAATTGTTACTCAGGGACACAGAATTGTTACTGAGGGACACAGAATTGTTACTCAGGGACACAGAATTGTTACTCAGGGACAGACACAGAATTGTTACTGAGGGACACAGAATTGTTACTGAGGGACACAGAATTGTTACTGAGGGACACAGAATTGTTACTCAGGGACACAGAATTGTTACTGAGGGACACAGAAATTGTTACTGAGGGACAACACAGAATTGTTACTGAGGGACACAGAATTGTTACTACCAGGGACAGACACAGAATTGTTACTCAGGGACAGACACAGAATTGTTACTCAGGACAGACACAGAATTGTTACTCAGGACAGACACAGAATTGTTACTGAGGGACACAGAATTGTTACTCAGGGACACAGAATTGTTACTGAGGGACACAGAATTGTTACTGAGGGACACAGAATTGTTACTGAGGGACACAGACAAGAATTGTTACTCAGGGACAGACACAGAATTGTTACTCAGGGACACAGAATTGTTACTGAGGGACACAGAATTGTTACTGAGGGACACAGAATTGTTACTCAGGGGACACAGAATTGTTACTCAGGGTTACAGACACAGAATTGTTACTCAGGGACACACAGAATTGTTACTCAGGGACACAGAATTGTTACTCAGGGACACAGAATTGTTACTCAGGGGACAGACACAGAATTTGTTACTGAGGGACACAAAATTGTTACTGAGGGGACACAGAATTGTTTCAGGGACAGACACAGAATTGTTACTGAGGGACACAGATTGTTACTGAGGGGACACAGAATTGTTACTGAGGGACACAGAATTGTTACTACTGAGGGACACAGAATTGTTACTCAGGGACACAGAATTGTTACTGAGGACAGACACAGAATTGTTACTCAGGGACACAGAATTGTTACTGAGGGACACAGAATTGTTACTCAGGGACACAGAATTGTTACTCAGGGACACAGAATTGTTACTGAGGACACAGAATTGTTACAGGGACACAGAATTGTTACTGAGGGACAGAATTGTTACAGACACAGAATTGTTACTCAGGGACACAGAATTGTTGACACAATTAAAGAGTATGTCAGACAACATGCAGAGGAGTGGCAGAGGAGGCAATGTTTTTAGGAGCGAGCAGACGTGGCAGCAGAGGAAGGGGTCGAGGCAGCACTAGTCGCAGCCAGAGGCCAGTGCTCCCGGTGTCATCCAGCGGTCGTGTCTCTCCACCGACAACCCTGCCGTCATCGATTGGTTGGCTCGGTCGTCTTCCTCTTCCCAGGTCACCTCTGACACCTACAGCCAACGGTCGGTGGGTACGTCAGACACAACCGTTAGTTGGCATGGCCCGGGAGCAAGCCCACTGAAATCACGTGTCCTCTACCTGCCCCTGTCCTTTGGTGTTCCCTCACCAAGCGAAGTATCGCATGCTGTGGGCTCAGCCCCACTGTACAGTGAGGAAGAGCTAACAGAGGGCGGTCAGGAACGGGGGGAGACATCCGCCTCTTCAGCAGCCAGGCGAAGAAGTACTGGCGAGGAGAGTGGCTCGGTAGCCGGTCTAGAGACAGGTCTGTCTCCTGACCCACACGCAGCCGAGGGGGCTAGTAGTGAGGCGGAGACCCTAATTGATGATGATGAGGCTGATCGCACTTGGCAGCCTCGTCGTCATCAGGCTATTGCTTCCGCATCATCAGGAGAAGAGGGTGCCAGCTTGGCAGCGAGCAAAACAGTCGGTGGGTTGCCCAGGAGGCAGCAGGGTCGCAGCAGTGTCAGTGGAGGCAAACGGCCACGGAGTAGAGCACCAGCTCCACTGCAGCCTACCACCACGGCCAGTAGTGGTGCCGGTGTGCACGGAGGAAGTAGCAGTCAGCCAGTGAGGAGTAGCGGGGGCAAAGTTTCCTACTCGGCGGTGTGGCAATTTTTCGTCAAGCCGCCCGAGGAAGTAAACGTAGCCGTATGTCGACTATGTGGCCAGAAAGTCAAGCGTGGCCAGGGGGCCCATGTTGGGACTACAGCGTTGCGTCAGCATGCATGCAGCGTCGCCATTTGGTGGCCTGGGAAAACCGTGATAAAGATACGGCGGTTCTGCCTGCCCCAGCCCCCCCCGCTCCATCACCCGCTCCGTTACTTGCTCCGTCACCCGACGTCAATCGCCCTCTATCAGCCAGTCAAGGCTCCAACACCTCTGCTGAGGGGAGTTGTCGCTCGTTGGCATCTTCCGCTCGTTCAGATGCTCCTTCTCCTGCTACTCCTCTTCACGGATTCCGTCAGCAGTCTTTCTTGGAATCCGTTTCCAAGAGACAACAGTTTGCGAGCACGCACCCGACGGTGCAAAAGCTGAACGTCCTCCTGTCCAAGTTGCTGGTGCTGCAGTCCCTCCCTTTCCAAGTGGTGGACTCAGCACCTTTCCGAGAAATGATGGCTTGTGCCGCGCCGCGGTGGAGAGTGCCAAGCCGGCATTTCTTCGCCAAAAAGGCAGTGCCAGCCCTGCATTCACATGTAGAAGAGATGGTGGGCCAGTCTTTGAGCATGTCGGTCTCTGCCAAAGTGCACGGCAGCGCCGACGTGTGGAGCTGTAACTACGGTCAGGGACAGTACATGTCATTTACGGCCCACTGGGTGAACGTGGTGCCGGCACAGCCGCACCAGCAACTTGGACAGGTCACGCCGCTTTTGCCTCCACGTTTGCACGTCCTTGGTCCAGCAAAGATGTCCGCCTCTACCACCTCTTCTTCTTCCGCCGTGTCCTCAGCCGCCACCACCCCCCGTGCCAAGTCCCATTACCCGACCGGCATATCACATGTGCAGGGCGCAACGGTGTCACGCTGTGCTGCACCTGGTATGCCTTGGCGAACGTAGTCACACAGGGGAGGAACTTCTGAGTGTAATGAACAGAGAAATCGACAGATGGCTGTCTCCGCGCAAACTGAAAATCGGAACCATGTTGACCGACAACGGAAAGAACATGGTGTCTGCTCTGCGTCAAGGAAGGTTGTGCCATGCGCGCCATGCATGGCTCACGTGTTCAATCTGGTTGTCAAGCGGTTCCTAAAATCCACCATCCCACTGCAAGACATCCTTAAAATGTCACGTAAACTTTGCATGCATTTCAGCCATTTCCTACACCGCAAAGCACACCCTCCTTGAGCTGCAGCGGCAGAACGGAATTCCACAGCATCGCCTGATCTGCGCGACGTTGCAACAAGGTGGAATTCAACCCTACACATGTTAGACCGCCTTTACGAACAGCGAAAGGCCATCACCGATTTCCTGATGTTACAAGCGGATAAAGGTACTCCCCTGTGTAACTTCGATGTCAGCCATTGGCAGCTCATGCGTGACACCTGCCGCTTGCTCAGGCCCTTTGAGGAGGCCACGCTATTCGTGAGTCGGGCAGGACTATGGGATGAACGACGTCATTCCTCTGTTGCACGTCCTGGAACAAATGCTGTTAACAATGGCTGGTCAGGGTGCGGTAGACGTGGCGCACAGATCTCAACGCCACATGACCCCTGTGGGGGCAGGACAGGAAGAAGAGGAGGAGGTAGAGGAGGACATTGGTGCTCAGGAATTATTGAGTGAAATGGGTGGTTTTTCCACTCAGCGGCGGACAGGAGTGGAGGAGCAGGAGCATCTGGTAGAGGAGGAGGAGGAGGAGACAGAGGACCCAGACGCACCGTGGCAGTATGCTGTGGAGATGGAGGCAGGGAGTCCCTCGCATTCCTTGGCACAAATGGCCCATAGCATGCTCGGTTGCTTGCGTAGCGACAGCCGAATAATAACCATCAGACAGAGGGATGACTTTTGGCTGTCCACCTTGTTGGACCCTCGCTACCGTTCAAAAATGGTGGCCTTTTTCACACCTGCTGAGAGGGAGGCCAAAATAACGTACTATAAAAACCACCTATGTAGTCAGTTGGTCTCTGCCTTTCTGCGCCAACGTCCATCCTCAGACACTGTGGGCCCTGTGCGCTCGCGTTCCGCTGCCATGGCAGCAGGGGAGGGGTGGGGTGGTAGGAGCAGTGGCAGCTCCACACCAGCAGCGGCTGCCTCAGTCTGCAGTCGATGATGAGTAGCTTTCTTCACCAGCGCAGTGAGGAAAAACTACTAACCAGCCGCAGCAGCAGCAGCATCAGGTGGACCTGGAGCAGGACCTCAAACAACAGGCTTGGGCCTACTTGGACAGCACCCTGCCAACCGAGGTAGACAATCCCCTTGACTACTGGGCAACGAAACTTGACCTTTGGCCCCAACTAGCTGAATTTGCCCTTGAAAGGCTGTCATGCCCGGCCAGTAGCGTGGCATCGGAGCGCGTGTTTAGTGCGGCAGGAGGTATTGTAACTCCGCGGAGGACACGACTGTCCACCCAAAGTGTGGAGAGACTCACGTTTGTGAAAATGAATCAGGCGTGGATTAGTCTGGATTTCAAACCACCAGTTCCTGACACAACTGACTAAATCCGCCATGAATCATGCCCCAAACATGTGCCACTTTCAGGTCTCCTCACACTGCTGGTGTGTTCCATTTTGTCATAGGGTGCTGGCAGATTACGGGCCTCCCATTGCTGCTGCCAGGCCCCGTAATCTGCCATGGGCCCCTGTACCGCCTCCTCATGCTGCTGCCAGGTCCAGAGTGTCTCATGGGTCCCTGTACGGCCTCCCATTGCTGCTGTCTCCATCGCCACACTCTGCCATGTGCCACTTTCAGGTCTCCTCACACTGCTGGTGGTTCCATTTTGTCATAGGGTGCTGGCAGATTACGGGCCTCCCATTGCTGCTGCCAGGCCCGTAATCTGCCATGGGCCCCTGTACCGCCTCCTCATGCTGCTGCCAGGTCCAGGTCCCCAGAGTGTCTCATGGGTCCCTGTACGGCCTCCCATTGCTGCTGTCTCCATCGCCACACTCTGCCATGTGCCACTTTCAGGTCTCCTCACACTGCTGGTGGGTTCCATTTTGTCATAGGGTGCTGGCAGATTACGGGCCTCCCATTGCTGCTGCCAGGCCCGTAATCTGCCATGGGCCCCTGTACCGCCTCCTCATGCTGCTGCCAGGTCCAGAGTGTCTCATGGGTCCCTGTACGGCCTCCCATTGCTGCTGTCTCCATCGCCCACACTCTGCCATGTGCCACTTTCAGGTCTCTCCTCACACTGCTGGTGTGTTCCATTTTGTCATAGGGTGCTGGCAGATTACGGGCCTCCCATTGCTGCTGCCAGGCCCGTAATCTGCCATGGGCCCCTGTACCGCCTCCTCATGCTGCTGCCAGGTCCAGAGTGTCTCATGGGTCCCTGTACGGCCTCCCATTGCTGCTGTCTCCATCGCCACACTCTGCCATGTGCCACTTTCAGGTCTCCTCACACTGCTGGTGTGGTTCCATTTTGTCATAGGGTGCTGGCAGATTACGGGCCTCCCATTGCTGCTGCCAGGCCCGTAATCTGCCATGGGCCCCTGTACCGCCTCCTCATGCTGCTGCCAGGTCCAGAGTGTCTCATGGGTCCCTGTACGGCCTCCCATTGCTGCTGTCTCCATCGCCCACACTCTGCCATGTGCCACTTTCAGGTCTCCTCACACTGCTGGTGCTGTTCCATTTTGTCATAGGGTGCTGGCAGATTACGGGCCCTCCCATTGCTGCTGCCAGGCCCGTAATCTGCCATGGGCCCCTGTACCGCCTCCTCATGCTGCTGCCAGGTCCAGAGTGTCTCATGGGTCCCTGTACGGCCTCCCATTGCTGCTGTCTCCATCGCCACACTCTGCCATGTGCCACTTTCAGGTCAGGTCTCCTCACACTGCTGGTGTGTTCCATTTTGTCATAGGGTGCTGGCAGATTACGGGCCTCCCATTGCTGCTGCCAGGCCCGTAATCTGCCATGGGCCCCTGTACCGCCTCCTCATGCTGCTGCCAGGTCCAGAGTGTCTCATGGGTCCCTGTACGGCCTCCCATTGCTGCTGTCTCCATCGCCACACTCTGCCATGTGCCACTTTCAGGTCTCCTCACACTGCTGGTGTGTTCCATTTTGTCATAGGGTGCTGGCAGATTACGGGCCTCCCATTGCTGCTGCCAGGCCCGTAATCTGCCATGGGCCCCTGTACCGCCTCCTCATGCTGCTGCCAGGTCCAGAGTGTCTCATGGGTCCCTGTACGGCCTCCCATTGCTGCTGTCTCCATCGCCACACTCTGCCATGTGCCACTTTCAGGTCTCCTCACACTGCTGGTGTTCCATTTTGTCATAGGGTGCTGGCAGATTACGGGCCTCCCATTGCTGCTGCCAGGCCCGTAAATCTGCCATGGGCCCCTGTACCGCCTCCTCATGCTGCTGCCAGGTCCAGAGTGTCTCATGGGTCCCTGTACGGCCTCCCATTGCTGCTGTCTCCATCGCCACACTCTGCCATGTGCCACTTTCAGGTCTCCTCACACTGCTGGTGTGGGTTCCATTTTGTCATAGGGTGCTGGCAGATTACGGGCCTCCCATTGCTGCTGCCAGGCCCGTAATCTGCCATGGGCCCCGTACCGCCTCCTCATGCTGCTGCCAGGTCCAGAGTGTCTCATGGGTCCCTGTACGGCCTCCCATTGCTGCTGTCTCCATCGCCACACTCTGCCATGTGCCATGTGCCACTTTCAGGTCTCCTCACACTGCTGGTGGGTTCCATTTTTGTCATAGGGTGCTGGCAGATTACGGGCCTCCCATTGCTGCTGCCAGCCCGTAATCTGCCATGGGCCCCGTACCGCCTCCTCATGCTGCTGCTGCCAGGTCCACAGTGTCTCATGGGTCCCTGTACGGCCTCCCATTGCTGCTGTCTCCATCGCCACACTCTGCCATGTGCCACTTTCAGGTCTCCTCACACTGCTGGTGGTTCCATTTTTGTCATAGGGTGCTGGCAGATTACGGGCCTCCCATTGCTGCTGCCAGGCCCGTAATCTGCCATGGGCCCCCGTACCGACTCCTCATGCTGCTGCCAGGCCCGTAATCTGTCATGGGCCCCTGTACCCCCCGCCTCCTCATGCTTTCAGGTCTCCTCACACTGCTGGTGGGTTCCATTTTTTCATAGGGTGCTGGCAGATTACGGGCCTCCCATTGCTGCTGCCAGGCCCGTAATCTTCCATGGGCCCCCCGTACCGACTCCTCATGCTGTGACGTTTGCAACAAGGTGGAATTCAACCCTACATATGTTAGACCGCCTTTACGAACAGCGAAAGGCCATCACCGATTTTTGCTGTGTTACAAGCGGATAAAGGTTCTCCCCTGTGTAACTTAGATGTCAGCCATTGGCAGCTCATGCTGACACCTGCCGCTTGCTCAGGCCCTTTGAGGGAGGCCACGCTATTCGTGAGTCGGCAGGACTATGGGATGAATGACGTCATTCCTCATGTTGCACCTCCTGGAACAAATCTGTTAACAATGGCTGGTCAGGGTGCGGTAGACATGGCGCACAGATCTCAATGCCCATGACCCCTGTGGCCTCCATTTGCTGGAAGAAGTGGAGGAGGAGGAGGAGGACATTGGTGTTCCTCTGCGAAATATTGAGTGAAATGGGTGCTCATTTTTTCCACTCAGTCCGGACAGGAGTGGAGGAGCAGGAGCATCTGTAGGAAGGAAGGAGGAGACAGAGGACTTTCAGCTGCTGCACCGTGGCAGTATGCTCCCGTGAGCCTCACAGATGCTGCAGGTCCAAGTCCCTCGCATTCACCTCTTGGCACAAATGGTCCATAACTGCATGCTGGGTTGCATTGCGTAGCGACAGGTGCTGAATAATAACCCTCAGACATGCTGGGCCATGACTTTTTTGGCATGTCCACCTTGATTGGACCCTCGCTACCGTTCAAAAATGGTGGCAATTTTTTCACACCTGCTGAGAGGGAGGCCAAAATAAAAGTACCAATAAAAACCATACCTATGTAGTCCTCTCATGGGTCTCCCTGTTCTGCGCCAACGTCCATCCTGCACTGCTGTCCTCCTGTGCCACACTCTGCATGTTCCCGCTGCCCCACACTGCTTGCTGGAGTCGGGTCTCCATTTTGGGGTGGTAGGGAGCAGTGGCAGCTCCACCAGCAGCGGCTGCCTCAGTCTGCAGCGATGATGAGCCTAGCTTTCTTCACCAGGCGCAGTGAGGACTCGGTGCTGGCTACTAATCAGCCCCTAATAAGCAGCAGCAGCAGCAGCAGGCCCAGCATCATGTGGCCCCTGGAGCAGGACCTCAAACAACAGGCTCGGGGCCTACTTTGGACAGCACCCAGCCAACCGAGGGTAGACAATCCCTTGACTACTGGGCAACGAAACTGGGACATTGCTTTGGCTCCATCGCCACACTCTGCCATGTGCCCCTTTTCAGGTCTCCTCACACTGCTGGTAGGTTCCAATTTTGTCATAGGGAGTGCTGGCGTGATTAGTGGCCTCCCAGGGAGGTATTGTTAACTCCGCCAGTAATCTGACATGGGCCCCCAAAGTACCGCTCCTCACGTTTGCTGCTGCCAGGTCCTGGATTAGTCCTCATGGTCCCTTTTCAACCCAGTTCCTGCTCAAATGACTAATCCGCCATGAATCCATCGCCACACTCTGCCATGTGCCACTTTCAGGTCTCCTCACACTGCTGGTGTGTTCCATTTTGTCATAGGGTGCTGGCAGATTACGGGCCTCCCATTGCTGCTGCCAGGCCCGTAATCTGCCATGGGCCCCTGTACCGACCATCCTCATGCTGCTGCCAAGGTCCAGAGTCTCTCATGGGTCCCTGTACGGCCTCCCATTGCTGCTGTCTCCATCGCCACACTCTGCCATGTGCCACTTTCAGAGTTCTCCTCACACTGCTGGTGGGTGATTCCCATTTTGTCATAGGGTGCTGGCAGATTACGGGCCTGCCCATTGCTGCTGCCAGGCCCGTAATCTGCCATGGGCCCCATTGCCGTACTGCCTCCTCATGCTGCTACCAGATCCAGTGTGTCTCCATGGGTCCCTGTACGGCACTCCCATTGCTGCTGTCTCCATCGCCACACTCTGCCATGTGCCACTTTCAGGTCTCCCTCACACTGCTGGTGGGGTCCCATTTTGTCATAGGGATGCTGTATGGCCTCCCATTGCTGCTGCCAGGTCCCCGTAATCTGCCATGGGCCCCTGTACCGACTCCTCATGCTGAGCCAGGCTCCGTAATCTGTCCATGGGCCCCCTGTTACCGCCTCCTCATGCTGCTTTGCCAGGTCCCCGATGTGTCATGGGTCCCTTACGGCCTCCCATTGCTGCTGTCTCCATCGCCACACTCTGCCATGGTGCCACTTTCAGGTCTCCTCACACTGCTGGTGGGTTCCATTTTTGTCATAGGGTGCTGTATGACCTCCCATTGCTGCTGCCCTCCACCACCACACTGTGGCTCCACACTCTGGTTTTGGCCCCGTGACTGCCCATAATGAGTGAAGTGTGCGGTGATTCTAAGATCCGACGGCACTCATCTGCATGTCCATACTGACTGACAGTATTATTTCTCCCCAGCAGACTCCAAGGGCATTTAAAATTAAAGGTACAGTGTTCTGCACTAATATAAAGGCTCTCTGAAGCCTTAGAAACACCCTTTTATAAGTTAAATTTGGCAGCTAATATATTCGCCTCGAATCGAATTTATTCCTCGAATTCACCGAATCAGCCGAATCGAATTTTACAATACTTTCGCTCATCTCTAACGGCTGTGTTTCCATACCTACCAAAACAGGATGTCACAGAAGATGTAACGCCAGGGGTCACATAGAGGGTCATGGCTGACTCTAAAGCAGTGTTGTAGTCTCCATACAACTACCATACATCACAACGCATGGCCTCTAAATTGAAATTAGCACAACCCAGTGCAAGGAAATTAAGGCACATACCCAGTAGAAAAAGCATACAACACAATGTAGAATTGCCCTCAATTCTCTCACTAAGATGTTAACTACTAAAATATACCAAGACCCAAGCCATCCAAACTTCCAAAAACTACCTACCAAAGTTTGTGGCCTAGAGATTAGAGATGAGCGAATCGAACCAGGCGAACCGGAATTCGATACGAATTTCAGGAAAAAAAAATCGATTCGCGCGGCGAATCCGAACATTTGCCTACTTCGGGTGCGCGAATCAAATTTTTCCCGATCAGCCGGCAAAAGTGTCCCTGCAGAGAGCTCCGCTATTTCTGACATTTCTCTGACAGTCCTTCACAAT